TTCCACTCACCAGCAGCTCCTGATTCTGTTCATATACGCTCAAGCCACCACTAGAACGTCCAACCTATCCACTAGTTTCTTTGCAAACCGCTCCCTGCTCCATCCTCCACTTCCTGGCCACAGCCCTGTGGCTTACACTGCTGACCTACCATACTGAGTTGTTCCATAAGGGGAATGCGTTTGTCCTAGTAAGTCAAAATATGGCTGCTTCCCTCTGCTTCTCCACAGCATTTGCCTTGACCTGTGCACCTCACGAGCCCTCTCGCCTTGACTTCCAGCAATGTCTGCTTTCATCTTTCTTGTTCCTCCCCACCCCACCACCCCTGCGTCCATGAGCTTTCACCTAAGCATCAGTTTTCCATTTCTGTGACGACAAATCATCCCAAACTCAGTGACATCAATTCCAGCGCAAATTTACTGAACTGGAAGCCAGAGGTTGGAAGTGAGTCTTACAGGATTCAAATCCACTAGGCCACATTCCATGGAGAGGCCTGCAGGAGGGAGGCGACCGTAGGGTGAGAAAGGTCTAGAGGACAGGGCGGCTTTCCTTTCAGCCTTTTTTGTTTGTTTGCCTCTTCTACTTTCTTAAAAGGCAGCCCGTGTTCTTTGGCCCTCTTCCATTTAAGCCACACCATCACTTCCAGCTTTTTGCTGGTAAACTAACTGGAGATACGTGTCTCAGGGACTTTTCTGCTTCGAAATGTCATTACCTGGGTGGTGATGAGCAACAGAAATGGAACATAGAAGTTTGTATGATAAACAGTGGAAATGTCTTCTCACGGTTCTGGAGGCTAGGATGTCCCAAGTGAGCACAGGTGGATTTTGAGTCTGGGAAGGATCTCATCCTCGCTCTGGGTCTTTGGTCCCAGTGTCTCCACATGGCAGAAAGGACAGGACAGCTCTCTGGGCCTTTCATAAGGACACAAATGCCACATACAAGGCCTCCACCCTCGTGGCTTCATGTCCTCTCCACAGCTCCATTTCCTTCCACACCTTGGTTCTGGACAGCCCAATCAGACCACAGCAGTATTGTTTGGCCTGGACCACAGTCACTTGGTTTTGTACCCAGAAAGCCATGTTTCTTTCCTTCTTTTGCTTATTTTGATGGTTTTTTGTTGTTAGTGGATATGTTATGACTTTCTCAGGCCATGGTTTCTGGAAACCAGCCGTGTTAGATTAATTCTGAATATGCAAGTCAACATTCCTTTTGTTTGGTTTGTTTTCAAGTAGAACCTCAATGAAGCAATCCTCCCACCTCAGCCTCCAGGCTGCTAGGATTACAGTTGTGCATTAACACACCCAGCTGCAAACTTCAATATTTTTAAACAGGTCAGGAAGATGGATAGGAAGACCAAAGGAAGAGCTGTACTGTAATACTGTGCTTAAAAGAAAAAGTTTGTCATTTTTTTAAGTCAAAAATAACCAACATTAATGCCACTTTACAAATTGGTCTCGCTTAAGTGTTCTTGGAACAGCTGGTTTTTGTGTCGTTCTCTCCCCCACTGGTAAATAATAATTTAAATTATAACACCAAGTCCTTTCCAGGGAATGAGTATGAAGAGAAACCTGTTTGATCTATTCCTGTTTTCATCTTGTTTCTGTCTTCTTGGGAGAGTTTTTGACAGGATTTGGGCTACAAGTGTCAGCAATCTGTTCTCGCCTCTGAGTCACTCCCACTATTTAGGGAACAGCACCTGTGAAGGGTGGGATCATGTTTGGACTTTAAAAAAAAAACAACAACACTTAGCAAATGTCTGTAGGAGCTTATGTAATGTATCTCAGAGTCTTCAGAAGAGATCAGAGTCCAGAAAGGGGCTTTATTCGCTTTGTACATCCTAAAGTCCTCAGGTTCAGTATATCCAGACCGACACTTGAACAACAGCCCAACAGCCTTTGAAGTGAGAGCTGCCCTGTCTTGGAAAATCTGGCTCTCTAGTAAGCGTGAGATAGATAGATAGATAGATTGATTGATTTTTGGTGGATCTTGAGGTTTGAACTCAGGGTCTGGGCACTGTCTCTGAGCTTTGGTGCTCAAGGCTAGTGCTCTACCATTTGAACCACAGCTTCACTTCCAACTTTTTGTGGTTAATTGGAGATAGGAGTCTCACGGCCTTTCCTGCCCCGGCTAGCTTCTCAGATCTCAGCCTCCTGAGGAGCTAGGATGATGGGGTTTCTACTTCATCTTATCTGCCACTTTGCAAAAGGAACTTTCCATCTTGGGTCTGCTGTGCCTTGCTGGTTGCTGTGGACATGAGAGCTGTCATCTGGGGTTGGATAGATGCCAAGACAAGACCCAGAAAGGCAGGGATAGAGACATGGGGATTGTTGTTTCTTCTTCTCTGGATCTTGTATTTAAGAACACTCCTTATCTAAGAACATTCCTCACCTACCCCTGTTTTCTGCTGCCATCATGAGCCCAATTACATCATGAGCGCATGAGCACATCCTGTGCAGGATTCCTGGCCCCCCTTTCCCCTCCCCACTGGGGAGAAGGACCGTGGGCTCCAAGGGGCTCCCCATAGTGCTGCTTCCTTGGGCCCTGTGAGGCCCGGGAACCTGTGAGATCTCCAGTGACTGACCGCCCTCCAACCACCACCACCACCACCATCACCAAACAAGATGGCTGACACACAACCAGAAGCAGGTAACAGGCATCTTGCATTCTAGCTACTCAGGAGGTTGAGATCTGAGGATAGAGGTCTGAAACCAGCCTGGGCAAATCTGTGAGATTCTTCTTATTATTTTATTTTATTTTTTTGTTCAGTCTCAGGGCTTGAACTCTGGGCCTGGGTACTGTCCCTGAGCCTCGTTGTGCTCAAGGCTAGTGCTCTACCACTTGAGCCACAGTCCACTTCTTCTGTGAGATTCTTATCTCAACTAAACAATTAAAGTTGGAATTGGAGGTATGGCTAACTTGGTAGAGTGCCAGCCAGGCAAGAGAAATCCACCTCCCCCTCCAAAAAAAAGGCTGGAATGACTGAGCATGTATCAATAGAGTTGTACCAACAGAGGTGAATTAAAATTGAACAGGATTTCTAAATCTAGTTTTTCTCTTTTCTACAAACAGTTGTTTTAATATTTAAAATACATTACCATATTGTATTCATAAACTAACATGTTGAATTGAAACTCCTTTGTACAACTGCTTAAGGATACTAAAACACACTTAACTAAAAGTATGTTTTTAATAAAATACATTACCAAATATTCCTAACATAAATTACCTTACCTTCAGAAAAAGTACTTGATATGAAAGCTTTTCATTCGTGTGAGTCATTTCTCAGGCCAAAGGTCCTGGTTTTTTCTCTTAATACCATATTGAAGGCTGTGTTATTGGTGGGAGGAGGGGCTAAAGAGATGCCTTCTTAAGAAAACAGGCAGACAGGAAAGTGGTTTATAATCATATCCTTAGTGATTTTCTTACAGCTTGCCCCGATTCCCATCCCCACACCAGGGCAGTATTATTAAGAAAGAACAAAATGGAGTGCCTGTGGCAACAGAGGAGTGGAGATAAGGAAAAAGTATTTCATTGGGGTTTTGTTCTTAATTTTCTGCCCTTAATTAGCTTGAGGAATTTACAGGCCTACTTGTTCCTTCCTACACGTCCTCGAGTCCCAGAGCGCTATTAAAACCACTCAGAAAGTGGCTCCTGGTTCCCAGGACCATAATTTCCATTGATTCTCTCCCGATCCATCCATCTTTCTGGAGAGGGACAGGACGGTCTTTTTGTTTGTTTGGTGGTTGTTATGTTTTAAGTAGTTGCACACAGGGGTTTCCATAAACATGGCCGTCTGTGAATGCAATGCATCTCCATCGGTGTCACCCTCATCCTTGCCTCCATCTCTCCGGGCCCCACCCAGCCCCTCATGTCACCTGCTGCCATTGTCACCTATGTACACTATTAGGATTACATTTTTCTTTCTTCTCTTCGTTCCTGTGCCCCATCCCCATGACTCCCCCAGCGCACCCCCCCCACATACCTCCTGTTGTTAAACTATAAGTCAGTTCAAAGGTGTTACACGCTAGAATCCTCCTGTGAATGTACATACTTCAGTTAATACATGAGCTCACATGCATATTTATAATTTAAGTCTAACTTCCACAGCCAGGTCCAGCAGGACGTCTTTTCCCAGGATGATCTGTGCTGTGTTGTGGGTGTCTATCATTCAAGTCACAGCATTGAGTAAAGAGCTTTACTCAAAGAAAAAGAAAAAAGGGGGGGGAAGAACTTGCAAATTAAGAGCTTAGCTTTCATGCAGTGAATAAATTATAGTGATTTAAATATTTTAATAAGCTTTCTCCCCTTAAAGAGGAGTGAGAATAACTAATCCACCTTATTATTGCTTGACTTCCAAACGATTTCAGGACCAAAAATAAGGAAAGAACCTTAAATTTTTTTAAAAAATAATATTTTTCTTGAAAGGTAGACAGTGGACAAATACGAAAGGCCCTTCCCAGGGCCAGCGTTCAGAGCGGCCTGATCAAAGTTGAGAAATGCGTGGGGGGGGGGCTCCCCCGCGGGGCCCCGCAGCCGGGCGGGGCCGCATCGAGCCCGCGTGCGCCTCGCCCTC